CTTTCACGGGGCCGTTCGTGTTACCAGCGGGTAAGGGAAGGCTGAATTTGAATGGGCAAGGTTGAGGGTGGACAGGGGTCATTGCCGTAAAACTTCAGCCTCCTAGACTCCGTGATTTCCGAGATATTAACTTACCCGTGAATAACTTTCTCGGGGCCGTACGCGTTACCCGCGGGTACGGGGAAGCTGAATTTAAATTTGCGGAGTCACACGTAGGTGGGGAACGTTTCCCTAAATTTTCAGCTTCCTAGCTTTTGTGATTCCCGAGTTGAAAGTTGCGGACACACACACATACACAAACACACACACAGACAACCCCGTAACAATATGCGTTTTGTACTGCTGTTACACAGCACAAAACGTATTAAAAAGGGTAATTTTAGATGGGGAAGTTGACGAGGCTTGTTCCTTACACAACGATGCTATAATCGCCTAGACGACTGTTTACTTTTTTACAGCACTTTCACCGATTCCAGTCCAGGATGCTCTGGTATATCACAATACGATTTGAGCAACTCTGACTGCACTGGATCACCCGCTGAAAGTGAAACGTCACGTTGCAGCAGCTCTTCGGTACAGCTCATTTTTGTTTGTAACTGCTAGTAAAGGTGGGCGTCGACTTTGACATGAGGCTCGTGTACAACCACGCAAGTTCAAATTTAGCTTTCATGTACGCCTAGGTCTCACGTTTGGCCACATGAAAGTCTTAGTGGAAAAAATTGTTGACTCGGGAACCAGAAGAGCTAGGAGTCAGAGATTTTCGGGTGATGTTTTCTGCCTATGCAGGGATTTCGCGGAGTCGATTTTATCTGTTATTTATTGAAATAACTGATCTGGAATTTCGTTTTGCTACCGGCCGAGCTGGATCTTATTAATTTTTTTGACAGTTTCTTTTTTATTTGCCTTCCCGGTCTTTAATATCTCACCCATATGGGCGATTTTGATATCTACTTGCGCAAAACAAAGCGGCTGTACCGCTTTTCGCTCCCAGTTCTTAGGGTACTCCACTGCTGCATTTAAGCTGCTACAAGCTGCTTTTGTACATGTTCCTCTGCTTTAATACATGAGGGCCATGTCAGTGTCGACCTTTTTGTTGCCACCATGATTTCTGCTCTGTCAGCGAGGATTACAGACACAGCTATGCGTTGAATCCTGAACTGCTTGCCTTTGGTTCTTGTGCAAGCGGTCACGTTGATTTTCAGCAGAATTCGCACAGTTCACGCCGCTCAGCAGTTTCACTCACTGGTTTATCTGGCGATGAGATTGCAAACCGTAAACGAGAACAAAACCGTTTGGCTGCTGCGCGATATCGGAAAAAGTTAAAAACAAACCACGACACGGATAGGTTTTTGTTTTTCTTCAGTGTATTTAAAATTCGTAACATGTTCGTTCTTTGAGCAATGTCAAAAATTACTGTTTCTCAGAAAGCGTATTCCACTACATTTCGCGGTTAGCATAGCAACGGGGCTGTTGCTTTCGAATTTTTATGCGTTTTTTGCAGCTATGCAATGCAAAAACGCATATTGTCGAGGGGTTGTCTGTGTG